TTTTTTTTTTTTTTTTTTTTTTTTTTTTTTTTTTTTGAGTAGGAGTCTCATTATCACCCAGGTTGGAGTGCAGTGGCACGCTTACGGTCACTGCAGCCTTGACCTGCTGGGCTCAGGTGATCCTTCCTCCAGGTGAGCCTTCCAAGTAGCTGGAATCACAGGCACACACCACCATGCTCAGCTAATTTTTTATTGATTTATTGTAAAGACAAGCCATGTTGCTCAGGCTGGTCTCAAACCCCTGAGCTCAGGCAATCCTCTTGCCTCTGCCTCCCAAAGTGCTGGCATTACAGGTGTAAGCCACCACACCCAGCTTTTTTTGTTTGTTTCTTTGTTTGTTTGGTTTTTGAGTACGGGTCTCACTCTGTCTCCCAGACTGGAGTGCAGTGGCACAATCACAGCTCACTACAGCCTCAAACTCCTGACATCAGGCGATCCTTCCACTGCAGCCTCCTGAGTAGCTGGGACTATGGGCATGCATCACCATACCTGGCTAATTTTTTCATTTTTTTGTAAACACGAGGTCTTGCTTTGTGGCTTAGGTTGGTCTTGAACTCCTGGGATCAAGTAATCCTCCTGCCTCAAGCTCTCAAAGTGTTGGGATTCCTGGCATGAGCCTCTGTGCTTAGCCCTAAACAGAATTTTTAAATAAGTCACTAAGGGAGTAAACGTGACAGTTACACGTAGGCAGTAGGCATGAAAGTATGGTCACAGAAAACCCTGCAAGAGAAATGATCACCTTCAGCAGCCAAGCTATGGACCCTTCACCAAGTCAGTGACTGGACCCAGCCCCATGGCTGGGCTGACATTGCAGCCTCAGAGCCACTCTAAGCTGCTGGTGACTTTGGCCCCAATTGGGGGTTCTCTGAGCAATTGACAGGGTTGTGAGCACAACAAGAGGGCAAGATGGCTGAGTTGCAGGGCTTTTTGGATTAGGAATAGGGAATAAAATTAACCTAATCCAAGCTGGTCTATCCAGCAGTTGCACCTGCAAGTCTAAGAGAGGAGCTACTGAGGCAGTCATTTCCTGAAACTTAACAAATGGGGCGAAAGTGTGACTCCCTAGAGGTAACTGTGTCTCCTTACAACCTCCACCCCTCTTGAGGGGTTTGTCCTGGGCACATGAGCAATTCCATTCCTGCAGGTTGTGCTGAAACAATTGTAGCTGTACAGTGTCTGGGTGGGAACTAGAGGACAGGGGGCTAACTATTTCTCCCACTCACTTTGCCTTAAGCATGGCTGCATCTTCCTCTGGACCCTCAGGGAGCCTGTGATCCACATGTAAATTACCCTATACTTCTACCCTCAGAAAGTCACTCTGATTCAAGCAGGCTCCCTTCTAAAGCTTGACGAGCCCACCCAATGGTAGTTGGTTAAAAGGTTGCTTAGGGTGGGTCTGTCATTTATCTTCTCATCTCCTCAACGTTAGTTAGTACAGGTCATATAGATTCTGGGAGGAATGCCAAGGGAATCTGATATGTTTGTGCTGAAATATTGTGGTAATCAAATATTATGTGAAATAAGTTGGCCATCAGCCAAAGATCAGAGATCTTGCTAGTTAAACAGAGATTTGGCGGTGCTAATATTGGATGTGATAGCATTTGCACTTCATGTTGATCACGATGACTTCTATGTATTTTGCATCCCTCTCCTAATAACACCTAATCATAACCATAGTTTGACTTTCAGCATTTGGAGAATTAACAGCCTAGGTCTGACTCTAAGGCCTCTGATGTGTAATTCTGTGAAGCACATATTTTCATCTCATAGGCTCCAAAGTTGATGGACAGGAGTGAGTCATTTAACTAGTGAGTGAGCCTAGGTGACTGCTTGTCACCCGTTGTTCTCTACTTGTCCTTGTGTGTGCAGTGATTCCCTTACAGAAAATAACCTGGAAAAGAGGGCTGAGAAGAGAGGAGGGAAAAAACAGCCCAAGAAAACGAATGGCCTTAGTGAGAAAACAGAATTGTTAAACACATTAAAGAGTAAAATATCCAATTTAGTGGTGGCTCAGATCTGCAGCATAAATGAGTTCCCTGTATGCTCTATCCAAAAATAAAAGGCAATTAGTAAAAGCATTTGAGTGTTCCAGACAGTATGAAAACAGATTTTATTCTGGTATTTATATAATCATTAAGGTTCAGAAGGAGGTCACTGAAAATGTGCGGGTATGCTTTCCTTCACTGCAGGGTGAAAATCATGCTACAATCATGTTTGCAAATTTGGGATTTTTAAGGTCTAAGGAGAAATTCTTAAATCAAGGAACTGTCATCTCTCTCACTTGTTCAATTGGTGCCCAATGGTTTCCAAAGCATTTTCATGTGTTCAAAACATGCTGCTGGCAGCAGTTAGGGAAGCAGTGGGAGGGACAAGGGGCCAGCCAAGCCTGGGTCCTCATTATGGCTCTGCCACTTTTTCTGCATTGTCTCAGGAAAATCCCTTATCCTCCCCAAGTCTCTGGGTCTCCACCTGTTTCATGAGGCTACAAATGCTACTTGCTCTGTTCACTTCACAGTCCTAGTAAAGACCAAATGTAAGAAAGTGTTTGTAAAGTATAATGAATGACTCCCGTGGGGTTCACTCATTCATTCATTTCACAAACATTACTGAACTCTCTTTGTGCTATGATTAGCACATAGAGGGGGCTAAGATGTGGTTTCCTCCATTGAGATTCAAGATCTAGGCAGAGACATAAGTAAAGGGAATAAAAGAATTTTGCCTACAGCTGTGTGGTGCCTGCACTTGAGCTCAAACTATACCAGGTCCAGCAGAGCTGCAGAGGAAACAGACTCAAGCCACTGCCACAGCATCTTTCCTCAGCCACCATCTGCCTCCCAATTCTGCCCTGGCTCCAATCTTCTGTAGTCAAAACGAACCTGATGGCAGTAACTGAGCCAGCCAGCTCCCATACAAAATTTCCACTGAGTCTCACATAGCTCAGTTTCCCCCAGGGTATGGCCCCATATTCTGGTCTGGTCAGGGAAAAAAGTAATTACAGCCAGTGCTTACAAAAACAAGCAGAGAGATAAAAGGGGGGGGGAGACGCTCTTACAAATAGATCAGAATGACACACTATTTAACCTAATTACCTGCAAAGCCACATCCAGGCATTAAGGATCCATATTCTGTAATAGAATTTCCTGCTATGGAAATACTCACCCACGCACAGGATGTTGAAGCAGAAGCCCTGGCTGACTGACTTATTCACCAGCTGGTCAGGCAAGCTGTCAAACCCCACATGTCCAGCCAGGGGGACAGTTCGGCAACCTTCACCCTAATTTGGAAGGGGAGGGGGAGAAAATGAAAATGTGCTTAAAGGCAATCTGGGTCTCATCTCTCCATCCAAATGTTTTCCATGCTAGAAAGTAAGACCTGCCCAGGCCGAGTGTGTCATTTCTTCTCTCAGCTACTCCCTGCTCCAAAGCAAAGTGGCCCAGCAGCTTGGAAATCACAGATTCTTGAGTACAAGCATCCTCTAGGTTCAACAATGGATGTCATCACAGTTCTAGATAGAGCAAATTACCCAAGGGGCTTATCCAGAGCAGGAGGGCAGGGGCCGGGAGAAGAACACTTGCACCAGAGACTCACAGACTTGGGTTAAATTTAGACTCAATCACTTTACAAGTTGGGTAACCCCTCTGAGACTCAGTTTCCTTCCACATCTGTCATTTGAGATAACATGGCATGTCTTAGGGGTAACTGAAACTCAAATGTGCTAATACATATAATGAGCATAAGTGTTCAGTAAATATTACAAAAAGATTTTTGGTCTTTTTTTTGAGACAGGGTCTCACTGTCACCCAGGCTAGAGTACAATAATGCAATCATATCTCACTGCAGCCTCAAACTCCTGGGCTCAAGCGATCTTCCCACCTCAGCCTTCCAAGTAGCTGGAACTACAGGCACACAACACCATTCCTGGCTGGCTAACTTAATTTTTTTTTTTTTTTGAGAGACAAGTTCTCACTCTGTCGTCCAGACTGGATTGCAGTGGTGCAATCATGGCTCACTGCAACCTCGAATTCCTGTACTCAAGCAATCCTCCCACTTTGGCCTCCCAAAGTGCTGGGATTACAGGCATGAGCCATTGTGCCCCACCCAAAAAGATCATAAAGAGCAATTATTCCTCTCTTCTGGGGCATTTTGGGCATCTACAGAGGCAGTATAGCACAGAGGTTAAGAGCATTGGCTTTGAAATCAGACAGGTCTCAGTTAGAACCTACCTTGGCCACCTTCTTTCTGGCTGCATCACCTCAGACAAGCTACTTAACCTTCTCAAAGTTTCCCCAATCATTAGATGGGGAACTAGTAGCTGGTGTGAGGATTGTATAGAACAATGCTCCTCAAGTACTTAGCATAGTGCCTAGCATGTGGTAAGTATTTGATCAGCAGTGGCTGCTGTTACAGTTACACTGTGAGGTTATCCTTAGGCCTGTGATCTGACAGGTAATGCCATGGAACACTTGTGGCTTCCTATAGTCAGAGAGAGCAGCCTCCATGCTTTCTCCGGTTCCCTTGACTCTGTAGGGGTCAGCCAAGCCACTCCCAGCCCTGGAAAGCAAACGGACTTTGCTTCGCCTGCAAGGCCCAACACTTCTTACAAAACAGGGAGAGCCTCAAACTAGGGCAGGCTTCCAAGGAGCCAGGGGGAAGGACAAAGGGGCCTGCATATACTCAAGAAATATGCCAACTGCCAACAGCCACAGGGAGGGGGGAGGAGAAGGGAAGCTGGAGACAGCCGAGCTGGACAAGAAGGGTGCACTCTGTAAGGAATCAGAGTTTCTGTTGGGTGGGGCTGCACCAAGCTTTCTGTAACCAGAAAGATGCCAAAAACAATCCAAGAAAGACATGGTCAGTGCCGGGAGGCCTGTGCCAGCATCCCAGGCTGCACTAGTAGGCAGCTCTTCCGTTGGACTGAACCTGCTTTTAAACTAGGTCCACAATAAGGACACATTTTTGCCCTGGGAGGGATGGGCCTGTGATGATAGAGGAGCCTCTCAGCAGTCGACCTTGTCAGAGCTGGTTTCCAGAAGTCCCCCCCCCCATCCAGCTTGGGATCCTGGCTCCCATCAGTGTCATCAGATCTTCCCAAGAGTAAGTGACAGGGCTAGTGCCGGTGAGTGCCATCTGGCAAGTTCATTACCTTCACTCATTTCACCCCACACATCCCCAGTGGAGCATTCTTGACAGACGGCCATATGCCATCATTTGGTCAGAGTTGGCATATTCTGTGCCCCAGAGGGTCCCCTGAAGACAGCTGAGCTTCACAAGAGGCTCATGTCACTCAGGGCTTTGTTCTACATTCACCCCTTTCCACTGCTTCTTCCCATTTCCCCTTCTTTTTATTAAATCAAAGTAAGATGTAAGTTTCCCCCCACTGGTTCTAGATCCTGGACACTGCGGGGAGACAAGGACTTAAGAGCCAATATGGTTTCCTGATGGAGCCACCTATGTAGCAGGCATCGGAAACTGGGATGAGCTCGAGTTGAGGTTTCCTGAGCCATATTTCATCACTCTTGGCTGCCTCTTCCAGACTCCAAATTCAGCACCAAGAAACTTCAAGTGCTCCAAAGCCAAAAGGAGAGGAAAGGAACTTTCAAACTGAGGACAGTGGAAGGAAGTGAGGAAGAACACCAAACCAAACACCTCCCATGCGCCCACCATTATCTTCTACCAAACACAGTTCTATAAAGTGCCCTAAACAGCAGAAGAAACCATTATGAACTTTATTCCCTAGACAATGGGGTTTGGAGGATTTTGAGCAGGGAGGGCCATGATACAGGTAGTGTCTTTAAAAGATCATTCCAGTTGTAGGGTGCTTGCATGATTGGAGGACAGAGAGAGTAGGGACAGAGAGACATATAAGGAGATGACTCTGATAATGTTGAGCCAGCAGAGTGGCATCCAGGCACTGCAATAACACCGCTTGAAGTGAACTGACCTTACTTGGGACTCAAAAGGAAGGGACAAGTTTGAGAGGCGTCCTAAAGAAGGGATGACACTCAATAAGTCACTGAGTGACCAGCAGAGGGAGTGACTGCAAGGGGCTAAGTCTGGGAGTTTGAATTGATAGCACCATGGATAGACAGAGGGAAGCCAGAAAACGGAGACTGTTTACTGAAAACATCAAGGAATCTGGTTTTAAGTAACCTGTTACTGAAAAAAGTACATTTACCAGGGGTTTCTTATTTTTAAAGGTAATTAATATCCACTATAGAAATTTTAGAAAAAATTATAAAGGAGAAAAACCACTCATAATATCACTGTCCAGAGATAACCACTGTTAATATTTATATGTAATTCCCTCCAGTCTATACACTTTTTTTTTTACTAATAGAGGGGATCAGGAATATACAGATATTCCTTTTAATAAACTGACTTAGTAATTTGACACTTGATAAAGTATAGATGTTTTCTTGAATAATTGAGTGTCCCTCTAATATTATTTTTATTGGCTACATGGCATTACATTATAGGAACTTGCCATATTTTCCTTTTTTTTTTTTTTTGAGTTGGAGTCTCATTCCGTTGCCCAGGCTGGAGTGGCATGCTCACGGCCACCCCAGCGTCCACCTGCTGGGCTCAGGCAATGCTTCCCCCTCAGTCTTCCAAGTAGCCAGAACTACAGGTGTGCGCTACCACGCCCGTCTACTTTTTTGTTTTATCGTAGAGACGAGGTGTCACCAAGTTGCCCGGGTTGATCTCGAACCCGTGGGCTCCGGCAATCCACTTGCTTCAGCCTCCCAAAGTGCTGGGATTACAGACTGAGCCACCAAACCCAGCCCTTGCCATATTTTCTTAACCAGTCTTCCACTGTCAGTCATTTAGTATATTTCCAAGTACTCAGCATTGTAAAGAATAATTCTTGTTCTTACATGTTTACATAGATCTCTGATTCTTTCCTTAAGTTAAATTCTTAGAAGTGAAGCTTGCTGGATCAAAGAGCACACATGTTTCAAACACTTTGGTACACAGTGACACATCATGAGAATCATATAAATTTATATTCCCACCACTAATATGTAAGAGTGTCTGTTTACCCATAAATACTGAGTTTCACAGGCTTTTTAACTATTGTGAATTGAATCACTGAAAAATGGCATCATGTTGTTTAATTTACATTTTACTACTAGTGAGGGTGAACAGTTTTTCATTGTTAATTGTGTATATATATACATGTGAGTTAACTATTCATATCTTTGCCTTTTTTATGGGTATTTTTCTCTTTTGAATTTATAAAAGCATTTTATATATTAAGGAAAATAAGATAAGTTTTTAATTTGATGATGAGACATCCAGGAAAAGAAATCCAATAAGCAGATAGCAACATGGAACTGTAGGCTCAGGGAGAATTCAGGACTGAACTATAAATTTAGGAGTGAGAGGTATGAAACTGAATGTGTTCTCCAAGAGATAGCACATGGAGAGACGTGTTAAAGACTGATGATAGGAAATTCTCACAAGTAAGAAATGGAAGATGAGGATTCTGTCAAGAGGGGGAAATGATCAGAAAAATAACAGATAGGCTGGGTGCGGTGGCTCATGCCTACAATCCCAGCACTTTGGGAGGCCGAGGTGAGAGAACTGCCTAAGCCCATGGGATCGAGACCAGGCTGGGCAACTTGGTGCGAACTCATCTCTACAATAAATCAAAAAAATTACCCGGGCGTGGTAGCACGGGCCTGTAGTTCCAGCTACTTGGAAGGCTGAGGCAGAAGGATCGCCTGAGCCCAATGGGTCGAGGCTGCGATGGCTGTGAGCGTGCCACTGCACTCCAGCCTGGGCAACGGAGTGAGACTCTAACTCAAAAAAAAAAAAAAAGAAAGAAAGAAAGAAAGAAAAATAACAGAGAACCCAATAGTTTTCTATCACCAGAATCTAAAGGGAAAGTCAAGAAGAATGACAGAAAACAGTCATTGATTTGGATTTGATGAAGATCACTGGTGACTTTTAGAATTCTTATTTCTTCTATATCTGTTATCCAGTGTCCAATACACCTAAACTTACTGAAGAAATTGGGAAGTGAGGACATGGGTCCCGGTTAATTGTCTTTCTCGCTAACAAGTATTTAAGCAGCAAATTTTTGTCTCAATCCCCGTAGTTAAGAAAGCTTCAAAAATGTATTTGTAGCCAGTCTCGGTGGCTCAGCCTGTAATCCCACGCCTTTGGGAGGCTGAGGGGAGTGGATTGCCTGAGCCCGCGGGTTCGAGACCCGCCTGGGCAACTTGGCGAGACCTCATCTCTACAAGAAATCAAAAGTGAGCCGGGCGTGGT